AAGCTGCGATCCAAACCGGCTCTGTATACAGGTAACTGGCATTTGCTGCTTGTTTTAGAACAGCGTTTTTCAACCTCTGCAAGTTTAAGATGGATGGACTTCAACTCCCAGAATTCCCCAGCCAGCATGCTTTAAGATGGATGGATTTCGGTACCCAGAATTCCCCAGCCAGCATGCTTTAAGGACTTCAACTCCCAGAATTCTCCAGGCAGCATGCTTTAAGATGGATGGATTTCAACTCCCACAATCCCCCAGCCAGCATGTTTTATGTATGTGGACTTCAGCGCCCAGAATTCCCTAGCCAGCATGCTTTAAGCATTAGCTGGCTGGGGAATTTTGAGCATTGAAGTCCACACATCTTAAATTTGCAGAGGTTGAAAAAACACAGTGTTACAGGGACATATCGATGCTTTGATGCCTTATGAGTGCTATTTATCACACTGGAATAGTGCAAAAAATAGAACAAGGATTGGGCCTCTGTCTGCACATGGTTTGTGGTTGAGGATGTTCTTTTCTCAGCCACAGGCAGCGTGCACTAATTGTAGGCATGGCCTTTTGGGGGGCTACGATGCCCGTTTTTTTCATTAGACAAGCCAGCGATAAAATTCCCACTAAAACTGATTTTATTCTTTTGGGGTTGAAATTGGTTAGGTTTTCCAGATGTGGCTGTCCTTGCCCAGCAGTTCAATGCTGAGGAACATGGGAAAGTGTACTTCATCCATCTCTTCATGGCTGCACTCTGGACCCATTGATGAACTACAATTCCCAGCATCCTTCACTGACGAGTTACAGTTCGCCACATCTGGAAAACTTAATTCTGAAAGAAGAGAAACGGGCAGCTGCTGTTTGGAGATTTCCCTGGGGTCAAAACTTTTGGACAGCTTTGGTTGAGGATCTCCCGCTTGAGCAGGGTGTTGGACTGGATGACCTCCGAGGTCCCTTCGGTTATTCTTTCAAACTTTCAATGCCATTCAACGCTTCACACAAATGGTGTTTGAGGCTTCTGTGTTATGGGCTGTTTTTTCCCTTCAAGAGATGAGTAGAAGAGGCTTGAGTTGCAAAGCAAATAAAAAAATGCGGTTAGACAGGGGAACTCCCTGCCTCAGGTTTTTTTTTAAATGGAATGAAACCACCCTTAAAAGAGAAAACATCCGTTTCCAGAGTCTCCTTTCTCTGGAGTATTTATTATTTCCCTAAAGGAGTCTTTTAAAATGTGATAAATCTGTCTGTCTATCTATCTTCTATCTATCTATCTATCTATCTATCTATCTATCTATCTATCTATCTATCTATCTATCTATCTATCTATCAAAGCGAAATTCCACTCATGCATCATCACGAAATATCCAGAACCGTAAAGCCTACAAACTTGAAATTTGGCACATATCTTCCTCTTGGCTTCTAAATGCTCGCTAAGAAAGGATTTTTTGAAATGACCCATCAGATTATTAGTATTTCTTATCATAATATTAACACACACTGGTGCTAAGGAGTTAGACGTTCTACTCCCCCTGCCCACCTGAAAAAAACTCTGTTCCAACTGCCACATGGGCATGGCCAGTGCATGACTCATTGGGCCTTATTCTATTATGGTCCTGGTCCTGTCCTATTCCATATTCCTATTCTATATTTTTTATTCTATTCTATGATTTGCAATTGTGTGGTTTTAAATATAAACCAATTAGGGTGCCTTTTCTGAGCAGCTTCATAAACAGACATCATTTGCTTATTTTGCATTAAATAAACGTTGTAAAAAACGAATTTATACAGAATTGACGTTTTTTTCCCCTCCATAATTTCTTTCGGTCTATATGGCGTCCGTCCCGAAAAAAAAAATGTTTTGAAACTCTCAATGCCACAGGACGTATCTCTTCAAAGTTTCGCAGATCTACATTTGCGGTAGAATTGACAATCCTCCGGCTTGCCGATTCGTCTTCTCTACCCGGAAGGGGGCGGGACTCTGAATGGCCACAGGGAGTAAAGGGGTGAGGTCCGACTTGTGGGCAGATTCGACTTCAGGTTCCTTTTTGAAGTGAGGCGCAAAGGCGATGGGAAAACTTGACTAAATCTTCCACTCATTTGAAAATATCAAATTCATTTGATAGAAAGCTTTTATTTCTGAGCAGACAAAAAAACCCTGCCTCAAACACTCAGGCAGGACTCACACAAATGCACAACTAGCCTCGCAATGTATACGTTCTGCTTGTGGGGAGGAGGGGTTGGACTAGAAGACCTCTAAGGTCCCTTCGTTATGTTGTTAAATCTCTTTGCTTCCGTCTACACAAAGTCTCCACAACCGTTGTGCATCTCTACAACCGCTTCTTCCCGCACACCAAGTCCCTTCGCTGCCGTTTTTCTCGTTGCCACGCAACAGCGCGGCGATGGACAGCCGGAAGTATATATTACATTTCCCTCCCACCCCCTTTATGTTGTTGTTCTACAGCCGGGATCGCCCCCGGCCTTTCTGATTGGCGGAGGCGGCGTTCCGAGGGGGCGGAGCCGCGCGCGGCGTCCCGGCTGTGGGCGGAGCGCGGGCAGAGCTTCCGCGCGGGCGATGGGGCTGCTGAGCATCTTGAAGAAGATGCGGCAAAAGGAGCGGGAGCTGCGACTGCTGATGCTGTATCCTTCCGCGAGGGGAAAAAAAGAGAGCAATGGGGGGAACCGGGATTGGGGGGGCTGATGGGTTGGGGGGGGGACCCCCGACTTTGCATCCCAGGAAAGAGGAGCTGNCCCCCCCCCACCATCTCATTTGCGGCTGCTCTTCAAATACTGGAAAAACACCCAGAGACAAATCCAGCAATGTGGCAATGATCCATGGGTACACTGGGGAAACAAAACAGCCAGTTCACCAATGCATGGCGCAATATAGGGGGACAAACCCATCAGAACAAGATTCAGCAGTCCATCTGCATTTAAAAGACAAATGTCTCACTTAACAACAGAAAGGTTGGACTCCATTGTGGTCATAAGTCGAGTCAGAGATTACAGTCCCCTTTTCTCTTATCTTTGTTCCTTCCTTCCACCCTCCCCAGGCTCCCCAGATGCTCTCTGGCAGATCCTCCAGCTGTCCGATGATATCCGAGCCTCTCCCGACCTCAAGGCTGCCCTCGCCATCCACTGGGCTTTCCTGGAACGCGATTTTGCCCGTTTCTTCCGCCTGGCCCGGGAGCTCCCTTACCTCCCCAGCTGCGCCCTCCATCCCCACCTGGCCAGAACCCGCCGCTTGGCATTGCTCACTTTTAGCCACGGCTTCAATGCAAAAAACTGCCGGTACCCCCTGGCCCGGCTGAGCCACCTGCTGGCTATCGACACCCCGGAAGAGGCCGCTGACTTATGCCGGGCGCACGGCTTGACCGTCACGGAGGACAGCGTCGTCTTCCAGAAATCCTCCTTCAAGGATTCGGCTACTTTGGAAAACCGGACTTCCGTGCTCCTCGTGGACGGGAAATGGAAGGGGAGTCTGTTGGATCTCGCGGAGAGGGTCTGCAGCTAAGGCAGCGTGTGTGTGTCACGCTGCAGTGCGCGTGCGCACAAGTCTCCTGTTCAGGCACGAAAGAATAATTTGCCTTGAAACGCTTGCTGCCGTTTGCAAACCTCTCTCTGTATGTAGAAAGCTAGCTCTTCAGGGATGTTGCAAGCAGCAAATTATTGTTTACAGCCTCTCAATTGTGCCTCCTATACTATACTATACTGGGCAGGTATTCACTTACTTTCCCTGCGGGCGGCTTGAAAATGTGCCTAAATAGGATAGCATAGAGCAGTGTTTCTCAACCTTGGCCACTTGAAGATGTCTGGACCTCAACTCCCAGAATTCCCCAGCCAGCATTCGCTGGGGAATGGGAATTCCCATTCGCTGGCTGGGGAATTCTGGGAGTTGAAGTCCAGACATCTTCAAGTGGCCAAGGTTGAGAAACACTGGCATAGAGCCTGGGTGGGCGGGCCTGCGAGTGCCCCAACAAGCTGCGATCCAAACCGGCTCTGTATACAGGTAACTGGCATTTGCTGCTTGTTTTAGAACAGCGTTTTTCAACCTCTGCAAGTTTAAGATGGATGGACTTCAACTCCCAGAATTCCCCAGCCAGCATGCTTTAAGATGGATGGATTTCGGTACCCAGAATTCCCCAGCCAGCATGCTTTAAGGACTTCAACTCCCAGAATTCTCCAGGCAGCATGCTTTAAGATGGATGGATTTCAACTCCCACAATCCCCCAGCCAGCATGTTTTATGTATGTGGACTTCAGCGCCCAGAATTCCCTAGCCAGCATGCTTTAAGCATTAGCTGGCTGGGGAATTTTGAGCATTGAAGTCCACACATCTTAAATTTGCAGAGGTTGAAAAAACACAGTGTTACAGGGACATATCGATGCTTTGATGCCTTATGAGTGCTATTTATCACACTGGAATAGTGCAAAAAATAGAACAAGGATTGGGCCTCTGTCTGCACATGGTTTGTGGTTGAGGATGTTCTTTTCTCAGCCACAGGCAGCGTGCACTAATTGTAGGCATGGCCTTTTGGGGGGCTACGATGCCCGTTTTTTTCATTAGACAAGCCAGCGATAAAATTCCCACTAAAACTGATTTTATTCTTTTGGGGTTGAAATTGGTTAGGTTTTCCAGATGTGGCTGTCCTTGCCCAGCAGTTCAATGCTGAGGAACATGGGAAAGTGTACTTCATCCATCTCTTCATGGCTGCACTCTGGACCCATTGATGAACTACAATTCCCAGCATCCTTCACTGACGAGTTACAGTTCGCCACATCTGGAAAACTTAATTCTGAAAGAAGAGAAACGGGCAGCTGCTGTTTGGAGATTTCCCTGGGGTCAAAACTTTTGGACAGCTTTGGTTGAGGATCTCCCGCTTGAGCAGGGTGTTGGACTGGATGACCTCCGAGGTCCCTTCGGTTATTCTTTCAAACTTTCAATGCCATTCAACGCTTCACACAAATGGTGTTTGAGGCTTCTGTGTTATGGGCTGTTTTTTCCCTTCAAGAGATGAGTAGAAGAGGCTTGAGTTGCAAAGCAAATAAAAAAATGCGGTTAGACAGGGGAACTCCCTGCCTCAGGTTTTTTTTTAAATGGAATGAAACCACCCTTAAAAGAGAAAACATCCGTTTCCAGAGTCTCCTTTCTCTGGAGTATTTATTATTTCCCTAAAGGAGTCTTTTAAAATGTGATAAATCTGTCTGTCTATCTATCTTCTATCTATCTATCTATCTATCTATCTATCTATCTATCTATCTATCTATCTATCTATCTATCTATCTATCTATCAAAGCGAAATTCCACTCATGCATCATCACGAAATATCCAGAACCGTAAAGCCTACAAACTTGAAATTTGGCACATATCTTCCTCTTGGCTTCTAAATGCTCGCTAAGAAAGGATT